TCGTCTTCCGAAATTTGACATGTGCCCAGAGTGGTGTTAGGTGGCGCTATCAATACTAACAGGAGACGGGGCTCTCGATCGGTGTCATTGTTGACATTTCCCTCTCTCTCTCAGTCTCTCTCTCTAGAAATTCGAATACGTGTTTGGAATATTACAGCGATGTCATTATGATTTTTTAAGAAAAAAATGTGAGGACACGCAAAATTAAACAACATTTAATGTGCTAAATTCTGAAAACGGCACCAAACATAGTGATTTACATCTAGGTCAGGTTGAAGAATACAAAGTTTCAACGAGTACAATCGCAGGTGGACATCACGTGACGAATTGTATTATTTAACAGGTCATCGAAGTCGTAACAATGGAAGCGAGAAGTTTGTTTGGAACATGTTTTTTGTTAAATTAGGTGTGAGCGCACGTTTGTCGGCTCTTCTCCTTTTAATATGACATTATTTTGTTCAATATACAACTACAGTTTTCGTAAGAACAACCGACAAATATGCGCTGACTATGTATTTAGACGATGAAAAATGCGTGACCCTGATTATCTATTGATACCAGGGTATTCTATTCATATTCAACAAATCTTCAGGTTCCATGCCTTCGATATTTATTTAGTTTACCTCGAAAAGAGCATTTTAAATTCACATCCGTACCATAAATACACAGTTAAGATATCGGGGGGTTTATATGATGGAACTTAAATTTGCACCATTTATTCTGGCTAGTTAACTCCACCCATTCTTTAGTGTTTTTTAAAATAAATTTGCTTCATTTTTATCTTATTTATTTACTTTTTTATTGTTGTTCTTCTTAATGCAGTTATTTTGCTTTTCAAGTTTATAATGTTTTTGTTGTTTTTTTCTCTCTGATCAATTTTTAAATTGTTTTATCTGCTTGTGTGTATATAAGTACATGTGATTTTGTATGTTAATTTATGTTGTAAATGTTTTCCTGTGATATTTGAACTGTGATAGTTGGTTAATGTGCTCTACAGAGCTCATGCTTATTGTTTTGCCATGTAAAAATGCCGACTTTGGATAAAATTTACTTACTTATTTACTTACTTGCAAAACATCAGAAATGGCATTCTATGTTTGTTTTTTCATTTTTTTTTTGAAAGGATTCGACGTTTTAGCCTGTATGGTGTTAAGTAGGAGCTAGATTTTCTGGGTGATCAAAATAAATAATTCATTCTGAGAAATGATAACTGAGAAAATAAAAAAAAAATTATTGAACCTAAACTTGTGGTTCTTAACCTACTCCCCCCCCCCCCCCCCCCATACACACATACGAAATGGGATGTTTTAGTAAATAATCTTCTCCTTGTTTCTGGTCAGTTTGAACATTAGATATTCTTGCAAGGGCATGAAAAACAATAATCTGATTCGACACCCACCTCCAAAATTCCCAGTTGTTTTTGGGCACCCGAGAGCGTAACGAAATAAATAAACATTCCCTCAGATAAACAAGAGGCCCAGGGGCCACATCGCTCACCTGAGCAATTGGCTAGGAAAAAGCAGAGATCAGATCAGAACTGAAAGTTTACTTGGGGGGGGGGGGGGGAGGGGGCTTGAATTTTAACCCCTCAGGGAGTCATGATTTGAACAAACTAGAATCTACACTACCTGAGGATGATTCCCTATAAATATCACTAAGCATGGCTTTGAAGTACTTGAAAAGAAGATTTTGAAAGGTTAATTTCCCTATATATACCTATGTAAAACTTTGATCGGCCATTTTGGCCCCACCCTACTCCTGGGGGTCATGATTTGAACAAACTTGAATCTACACTACCTGAGGATGAATAGACATAAGTTTCATTTTTCCTGGCCAAGTGGATCTTGAGAAGATTTTTAAAGATTTTTCCTATATATTCCTATGTAAGACTTTGATCGGCCATTTTGGCCCCACCCTACCCCCGGGGGTCATGATTTGAACAAACATGAATCTACACTACCTGAGGATGAATCCACATAAGTTTCATCTTTCCTGACCCAGTGGTTCTTGAGAAGAAGATTTTTAAAGATTTTTCCTATATATTCCTATGTAAAACTTTAATCGGCCATTTTGGCCCCACCCTACCCCCGGGGGTCATGATAGTTCATCTTTCCTGGCCCAGTGGTTCTTGAGAAAAAGATTTTTAAAGATTTTTCCTATATATCCCTATGTAAAACTTTGATCGGCCATTTTGCCCCACCCTACCCCGGGGGGTCATGATTTGAACAAACTTGAATCTACACTACCTGAGGATGATATCACATGAGTTTCATCTTTCCTGGGCCAGTGGTTCTTGAGAAGATTTTTAAAGATTTTTCCTCTATATTCCTATGTAAACTTTGATCGGCCAGTTTGGGCCCACCCTACTCCGGGGGTTCATGATTTGAACAAACTTGAATCTACACTACCTGAGGATGATATCACATGAGTTTCATCTTATCTGGGCCAGTGGTTCTTGAGAAGAAGATATTTTAAAAATGCCATTAATTTTTCTCTAATTCATAATCATCTCCCATTGGAAAAGGGCCTGGCCCTTCATTTGGACAAACTTGAATCCCTTTTACCCAAGGATACTTTGTAGCAAGTTTGGTTGAAATTGGTCCAGTGGTTCTTGAGAAGAAGATGAAAATGTGAAAAGTTTACAACGACGACGACAGACAACGGACAAATTTTGATCAGAAAAGCTCACTTGAGCCTTCGGCTCAGGTGAGCTAAAAACATTTGAAAAACTATATACAATGCAAATGGAACGCATAAAAACAAATAAAAAGTATGGAATAGAAATCTTTTTTAATACCAATGGAAAGGATAGATTACAAATAAACGTTTTACAATTTAAATGTAAAATATAGTATACAAATGAAAAATCATATGATACAAATAAGAGTTGCACAATTCTAATGGAGATTTTTACAATATATTTAAAAAACATTCAATTTTAACGGAAAAATTCATACATTGCACCGTTTAGAATGTCATACAAATATTCTTCTTCATGATATGGGTCTCTTGTTTTATTACTCGATAATTCCCCATATGTCTCATACAAAACCAGTAAGTTTCATCTGAATTGAAATAATAATGATTATTTCTAAATTGCTAGGTATTGCTCCAGGGCAGTTAAATTAAGTAATTCTCACTTTTGAGGTCACTTCGGAATTTCCGTAAACCTATCCCAAGTGTCTAGTCCAGTTCAGGGGAGGAATTACAGGATCCAGTGACTCTCTTGGTATCTCAGTAGCCGTATCTCTGGGCTCTCCCGGTTGCTCCTTTTATACCGGAGATGTTTGTTCACCGTTCCTTAGTTTGACAAAATTTGAAGGTGTTGTATCGCATCCAAAAATAGATTTGTATATTTATCATTTCCTTTGTAGAAGATGGAGAGTTAATTTCTATGTCCATATTAATGTTTGTACTAATACTTCGGGGTTGACTTTTACTAATGGAAGTTTATTGTTCTCATCCATAAACGGGAATATGTTTATCTGTTTTCTTATTGTTTCCTTGGTAAAGATAGAAAATGTTTAAACTCCTCCAAGATTTATGTAAGAAAGTCATTTTGCAATAGTCCCCCATTTGACCGACTAAATTATTATCTAACATTTTAAATTACAATGTACAGTACTGACCTATAAAGTGATTTAAGAGAAACACACAATATTTATAAATACATGAAAAATATACATCGTAAATATATTATTTATAATAAGGAATCTACAGATTCCTTTGACAAGCCTAGGGATTATTATTCCCTGTAAACACTTGCTTGTCTTATTTAATTAAAGCACTAATAAAACAAATGGTTGGTAGGTATCAATGTAATTAAACACGGCTGTAGATATCAATTGTGTTACATTATGCTCTTGTAATATTGGAATTTATAGATGACTTCGATACTGAAATTTAATTTGCAAAAATCATGTCACTCTTAAATCAGGTGACAAGTCTATGCATGTAAATTCTAATTGTCCTCAACATGTAGATTTGAACCAAATTCCATATTCCCGATATCATTAAAGTTCTAAAAAGATTTGCACATCTTCGTAAAAAATGTACTTTTTATTAGAAGAAACTCGCCGATATTTCCTTTTGTCACCTTTTTTGGGGTCCACCTGATTGGGACCCTTCTTGAAGCAGAGGGGAATGCCACAAGGGTAGGAATTATTTTGTCTCATTTTGTATATTCCGAGGGGTATTGAAAACGGTGGAATATCATCTGCAATGTTTTGCAATAACTGCAGTTGTTGTTGTATAGAATTTGAATCCATTAATTTAAATCATTAAAGAGGCTGGGTGGTTGCGGCCATTTTTAGACTATCTTGATCTCCTTTATAAGAAGAGCTCTATTTAAGGAATGAAGCTTATTTCAACCTATGTTATCCGATACAACATAACTTGGGGCAGTTTACGCTTTATAAACCGCGAAGCGGTTTATAAGAAAGCGTAAACTGCCCCAAGTTTTGTTATATCGGATAACATAAGTTGAAATAAGCTTCATTCCTTATAATTTAATTTCAGTGTAGACAATGAGACAATATTTCCTCTGGGAAAAGGCTTCAAAAAGAGCATTATTTTAAAAATAACGTCAAGCGCAGTAATACGTTTTTGACGTAACTCATTGTGACGTAGGCAAGTTATGTTATCCAAAATATTATATGTTCCTCAGAATGATTCAGCCAACGAAATTGCTTGCTACAAGAGAAATTAAATTATATAAAGATATAATAAAATGATAAATTTCAAAATTAAAATTTATGAAATTTTCTTTGTCAAATAATAGTTGACAGCTTAAGATGTCATATACCAAAATTTAAGTTATATCTGATGGTTAATACGAAAATAATTTGCTGACCCCCTAGCATCCTTAATGTCAGTTCAAAAGGGTAACTTGATGACTGAGAAAAAAAAATTTAAAGTCCTAAAAAGTTTTCACCCAACCACTCGATGCCATATTAAAATGGCATGTTTCCCTTTTTGGTGCAGAAGGCGTAGATGGCCTTCTATGTCTTACCTACAGTACCACGAAGGGTTACTGTAGAATGTGCCCCTGTACTGCGCTTGAAAACAAATGACCGGAGGTGTAACTTCCAGAAACCTTGCAGATATTCAGGATTGATCGTGTGGCAATTTTCCATTTGATGATTAGGACACGTCATCTTTTTCCTTTTTGTCAGTTTTGTTTCATCAAGGAAGTTATGTGTTATCTCTTTACCCAGTATTTGGTTTTCCGCTTCGTTACAGATATATCCCAGTCTAAATGATAGGTGTTTGTGAAAAGTTGTGGTTATTTCTTTCATCGCCTGCTCAATGCTTTTTCTAATAAACAAGGCGACTTTCTTCTTTAATTTGAGCCTTGGCTTGGGCTGATAAACTTGCAGCTGAATCGAGGTTGATGTCACTGCTACAGCAATATTGTGATTTTTGTAACTAAACAAGGCTGCATTTTTATACAAACAACTAATATCGTTGTTTTTTAGAACTTGAAAGATTCCATCGACCATAATTTTGACGACAAGCCGATAGAAAAGAAAGAAAGGTAAAAAATCGAACAAGAACACTAAAACAGAGGACGTCATAGGTGCTTCCTTGATGATAGCCATCTGTTGCTCAGCAAACGGTTTTTTGTTCATGCAAGGCACGTAATGGCAGGTATCGCCAATTGCTATCAAACCAAGCCTCTGCATATATGATAGCAGAGCCTCTCTGTGATACATGAGAAAACGAGGATCATTCTTTTCAAATGATGCGTTCTCCTTTCTCAAGGATTTCATCAATTTTTCATCTTCGTTTTCCCAAATTCTGCTTAAAAGTTCTGCTTGTAAGTTTCCTGTGCTGTAGTATTCATCCCAGATATGTTTAACAATATTTATCCCTTGTGTGTGATTTGCATCTGTTATGATGTTTTTAAATGCATCGACAAACCATTGGACATCAATTATAACTGTCTCTCGCAGACCTTCTTCATTAAAGTAAAGAACTTTTCCAGCGTCGTGATAATATCGCAACATGTCCTTCGTGCTCTCATTTTTTTCAGTTTCATTAACTGGCATTCGTTTGCACACCTCAGGAAAAGGCAAGATACGCTTGATCTTTCTATTTTCCTCTATCTCTTGATTCAAAAACTCCCATTCGTGTGGTATTTTTTCACTCCATTTTCTTGACAAAGCAAGGTCTACAATGAAGTTTTCAAGTTCCGCCAAAGGTTCCAACGGAAACTGTGCATAGAACAAAGAGTTTGCTCCGATATACTGTCCCAGATTTGAATGAGGCGACAATGTGTTGCGTAAAATTCTACCGAAGGCCTTTGTGTCCTGTCGTAAAGAACATAAATTTGTTAATTACAATCGCTTAAGTATCTCAAAGTAAAACATATCAGATCAGGCGTGTAATACATGCTGTTCTTTAGTACTAAGTATCACATTTTTGAATTTAAATTAACAATTTGCACACTATTCAAACCCCAACATATCAACGCTTTTTATTCTTATTACATTATTTTACATGTGCATGTACCGTTTTACTCTGCACGGATTGTGAACAATGATTATCCAGTCAATATTCCCTAGACTAATTTACACAAATAGACTTACATTGTACAAAAAAGAGAACTCTTACACTTAAAATGTTGAGGTAATAATTTTTGTGTTTTAAAATTTTAAATATCTATGTTCAAAAATACACTTTACTTTGGTGCACTGTACCTGGTCAACTCGCCTTTCCCAATGCGTCACAACTATAATTACATCAATATTTTTATCTTTTTCAGTTGGCTGCGAACAGTACGTGTGAATCGACTTCAACCAGAATTCAAAGTAATCTGTTGAACATAAAAAAATTTTTTTTTAGCTTTAATGGACAGCTTATTTGATAACAAGAACTTTTTTATGCATTCCTGTGTCCTAAGGTGAAATAATTTTCTAGATTGGCGTGGCCTACGTATTACTGTATTCAAAATTTAGACATTGAATGAATTCAGCATAATTACCTTTTCATACACGATTTTGAATATATACCCTGTGTGTACGAGAAACAAACCTTTGTATGTCCAACCATTGAAAACAGTATCACCCTGGTCGCATGCATTCCTATCCACTTCTTTGTATAGATCTTTGGAGGCATCTACTACCAGTATGTAGAAAGCTCTCCTGGTCAGGTATATCTGGTGACAGGCGTAGTATGCACATTGTCCCCCAAAGTCAAAAAAACTGACTGTTTTGGTTATTTCCTCCTCCAAAGAATGATTTGAATCTTCCGGCCTCTTCTTGTTTTCGGAAATATGCTTGTCTGTGCTTGATTTAACTGTAATTGTAAAAATAAAGAAAAGGAAGATATGAAAACCTTCAAAGTAAGACTTGACGTAAAGTTATTGAAAATATTCAAAAGAATGTCTCTGAATTATCAAAATATAGCTTCATCTATCCATGGTAATAGTTCAAAGTTCATGGACGAATTTCACATTCCTAAGAGTTATCTCCCGTTGTTGACGTAATGCTTATTTTTTCGCACTTTTTCCTTTGTAAATTACCTCTAAATATTTCTAAATTTCAAACGTTATAGGACAATTTCGATCTGTACCTGTATTGCCAGAGTATGACAGCATGAAAATCATAATGAGCATATTCATAACGAATTTATTTCTAGGATACTGAGCCATAAAGTTGATAAGGTTATAGAATGAAAACAGCCTCTTACGCCGCTTGACCCCAGATTGACCCCAAAAAGGGGAATAACGTGTGTAAAAGTGAAAGTCGTCTATTATCGTAATTCAAACCCTACAGATCTACAGCTCCCTGCATTTAAAAGCTCACATGGGTTTGTGCATAAATTAAGGTAATATTCCTCTTGTGCATTTAATAAAAATTAACATTTTTAACTTTAGCAAAACGTCAAACCCGAAGCTGTATTACAAACACCTCATGTCCTTCCTCGCGGTGAATTTTTTCTATTAGATTTACAAGTATATAGGAAAAGATATTGAAAAACTTAAAAATGACCAGAGCAATAATAGTATACACGTATTAATTACATTGTTTGCAATTACATTTTCCAGTTTAAACATGTGTATTAGCCAACAATGTACTTGTTAACCTTTCAATTTTCCATCACAAATTTCGAATATTTCCTCATGCACTTCTAGGCCTACTGTTGTTCTCACTTTCGGTACCTCCTTTTCTTCTGGATTTAGTAAACGTTGAAGTAGCGTGGTTTTGCCCGCCCCAGCACATCCTACGATCATCCCCCGGGCATGGTGGACTGTCTGTGTTCCTCTCTTTATGTACCCTACGTATCGCTCTCTTGCCTCCCGGTCCCATTGCAATACTTCACTAGGTACACCAACTATATAGAACGAGAATAAAAACTCAATATGGTGTATAACAGTACAATTGAGAAAATGCCAACTTTGAGTAAGTAGTACTTCAATGCGTAAATATCTTTTAACCAAGGCTTTGTTTAAATAAAAATTGCAAATAACAGTAGCAGTTTACAGGTGAGAGAACTCAAGTTAGAAAGTGAATCTACTATATTTTTTATATAAATTACAAAACAGATACCAGCTATTCATTTACATTAATTCTGGAACAAAACAAACTTGAAAACTTTTACAATAAACCAAGTCTTGACCAATAAACTCCATATTAAAATCAGAAAGCATTATAATTACAGTGTTTATTAATCCTGCCATGGATATCTTGGTCAGACACGGTACAGTGTGTGATGATGTCAAGCTGTAGTTTGTCTATGAAGAGGTTGTACATATTATCTGGTATGCTGGGTACAAAAAGACATCTCTCTCCCTCACTCCTCTCATACTTCCAGGACCGACAGTATTCTGATATCACGTCACGTGACGCTGTGGTCAGGAAAAACTCCAGATCACTGTTGTCAAACAAACACTCCGTAACAAAGGCGTACATGACGTCATGTCGGATTGAATCTGATGCAAAGGTTATCTTATTGTCCACTTTATGTATGATTCCAACAGGGATGTCTTTAGTACTAATTATGACATTAGACTTGACATATTCGTTAAAGTATCTTTCTCTTAGCCTGTTTAGCGTCACTCTATGTGCACCTTCATTGATATGTAGTGTATACTCGTCAACCAGAAGTAAACAATACAACAGACACCTGGTATCCCATTTGTATTCGTGATGTTGAACTGCAAATATGCAACACAATGATTTTTCCATAAAAATATAAACATTTCTTAATTTAACAAATTAAAACAAATTTTCGATGCACTGATACATGTATTATCGCATTTTTTCTGTAGAAATTGACGTTATCAAAATGCCAGTCAAACCCCACGGTCAAGAGATGGAAAATGTTGTTACCTAAAAGAAATACCTGTCTAAAAATTACGCAAGTAACAAATAGAAGCCCACACACTAACCATTCAATAGTTATTACCAAGGTCAATTTTGTTTTGTTTGATTTTTTTTATATGGGTAATTTTCAGGTTTAACTGTCAATCATTGTCTATGGCATGACGCAGGGGTTAGATCGTCTGCTTTAGAGTGGATGCGTCAGGACTTTATTCTTACGTCGCAGTTTGAAATCCCACTGTGGGATGTACAGACGGGTCCTTCTGATAAAACCGAATAAAACGTGGTCCTGTGTGACAGTAGATGCTCGCACGAAAAAATAAAGACTCTCACTTCTCATTATCCCGGAGAGCCGAATATATATATAAAAAAATTTAGCCCATCACCAGCAGTGGTGGTGTTTCTGTATGAGTAAAAACAATCTTGAGAGGATAGTTAAACAACAAACGAATACACTGTCTATCAACTGGATAATTTAATATCCAACTGTGCATAAAACGTTATTTCGCAATGAACAAAAGAGATAAATGTAAAAATACATGAATTATCTTGCCAATGTACATGAAAAATAATAATTATTCAGAATTTGTCACACTATTGGTTTTGTTTATTGTGCAAATAGAATTATTTTCCCATTTTTTTAAAACACCATTTGAATGGTTCTTCCCAAAAATACTTAAGTATAGTATAGTTTCCGATATTTTACTACAGTATAGAAAATCGAAACTCCAACGTTTTCACTAAAGTAAATCAAATTTTTCACTATCATTATAGTAAATCAAAGTTGTAATTTTTTTCATTAGTGTAACATCTTACGTAATTTAATTTGTTTTTGATTATTAGTCGTTTTAAAGGGATTGATATAGGAATATTTTTGGCTGGTTTTTAGTGCACATTTTAATATTAAATAAACAAAGTAGTTAATTCAAATACAATATTAACATTAAGATAATCAAAAAAAGGATGTTGAATGACGTTGATGAAGCAGATATTTATAAATGAAGCAAATCTTATTTTTTCATAAATAAGACTTACGTTACTTTTGTATAAAATTAAATAGAAAATAATAGACATCGATGAATATTATCAGCGCAACAGACAAACTTTGCCCCAAATCTTTAGCTTAAAATATCATGGAATGTAAAAAATGGAAATAAAAAACATTGTTCCACCTAGCGGGTTTTATCATACTTAATCAAAGTTTTAACTTTATTCAATCATTGTTTCAAACGTTTTTACTACAGTAAATCAAAGTTCCAAAGTTTTAACTAAAATGAAAGTTCCAAGATTTTAGTATAGTAAATTATAATGCCAAAGATTTTACAATAGTGAATCAAATGGCCAAAGATTTTACTATAGTAGTGTAGTAAATAAAATTTTCACTAAATTAATTGAAAGTTCCAAAGTTCTCACTTTAATTAATGCTCCAAAGTTTATATTATTGTAGATTTATCAAGGTTTCGTAGGTAAATTAGCGAAAAACAAATACATTATCTGATTTGGTCTTGTTAGCGAATACTATACATGTATTTCAAAAAAGTACAATCTGTGCTGCCCCACGGTACGGAACCCGCAGCCAGAATAAACCACTGAACCTCTAAAGTGCTGACTGACTTTATTGGTAAATGATTGGTAAAAAGCTGGAACAAAAGAAAGTTTGGTAAAAGAATCAATAAACAAACAGAGAACAAATTGACTAACATATAAAAAAAACATACAATCCGAATTATGGCACAAACTGGTTTCCACACATAAAATTTTTTATCAAGCCTAGTTTAGTAATTCCTGAATTTAAACACAATAATCTGACCCAAACATATATTCAAGTAATACTGATGATATAAACTTTACATGTACATTAAGAATGATACATAATAATACTGAACTATATCAATTTAAGAGACTAGATAGCACGAATGAATAAGTCACGTGATCAACAGTAGTAAACAATCTAAATCAATTCCTTTTGATATCAAATTGATACACAAATAAGAAACGAAATGAGGCAAATCTCAACTGCTTCACAGTCACTAAATAAATGTCATAACTTACACTGTGGTCAGCTTCACGAAACAAAAACATGAACACACATTGCTTCGCCGGAACACTCCCCGCCTGATATCTGTTATCAACTAAGTTTCAGACATCAAGAGAACAACTTGGTTCACTGGTCGAACATATTCTGTGGGTTTCCCATCACGTATGATGCGGACTTCTATCTTTTGTACTTTTCCATCCGATCCAGGAAAGGTTCTCGTCACAAGACCCATGGGCCAGTAAATTCTGTTCTGTAACTCATCCTTTAAAACCAGAAGTCTCTGTTGAGACTGAAGCTCTACTGGTTTGTACTTATAGCAAAGGAAGAGAAAAGTACTTAAGCAGTTAGAAATTGAAACTTTTCAACAGCAATAAATAGAATAATGATCCTTGATTAAGTCTATTTATGTTCTTAGTGTAGTCTACTTGCATGCCACATTATATTATAACCAGACTAAAACTGTTATTTTGAGTAGCATTTTGAGAGTATTTAACAGAAATTTCTATTTTTAGTAACCACAGCAACACCGTTCATTGAAATCAAAAACTGATACATAGAATTATGTATCTTAGTGTAGTCTACTTGTGTGCCAAGTTATATTGAAATCAGACCAAAACTGTAGGAGGAGTAGCATTTTGAAAGAATTTCACAGAAATTTCTATTTTTAGTAACCACGGCAACACCATTCATCGAAATCAAAAACCGATACACAGAATTATGTATCTTAGTGTAGTCTACTTATGTACCACATCATATTGAAATCAGACCAAAACTGTAGGAGGAGTAGCATTTTGAAAGAATTCACAGAAATTTCTATTTTTAGTAACCACAGCAACACCGTTCATCGAAATCAAAAACCGATAAAGAGAATTATATATCTTAGTGTAGTCTACTTGTGTGCCAAGTTATATTGAAATCAGACCAAAACTGTAGGAGGAGTAGCATTTTGAAAGAATTTCACAGAAATTTCTATTTTTAGTAACCACGGCAACACCATTCATCGAAATCAAAAACCGATACATAGAATTATGTATCTTAGTGTAGTCTACTTGTGTACCACGTTATATTGAAATCAGATTAAAACTGTAGGTGGAGTAGCATTTTGAAAGAATTCACAGAAATTTCTATTTTTAGTAACCACGGCAACACCGTTCATCGAAATCAAAAACTGATACACAGAATTATGTATCTTAGTGTATTCTACTTGTGTGCCAAGTTATATTGAAATCAGACCAAAACTGTAGGAGGAGTAGCATTTTGAAAGAATTACACAGAAATTTCTATTTTTAGTAACCACGGCAACACCGTTCATCTAAATCAAAAACCGATACACAGAATTATGTATCTTAGTGTATTCTACTTGTGTGCCAAGTTATATTGAAATCAGACCAAAACTGTAGGAGAAGTAGCATTTTGAAAGAATTTCACAGAAATTTCTATTTTTAGTAACCACGGCAACATCGTTCATCGAAATCAAAAACCGATACACAGAATTATGTATCTTAGTGTAGTCTACTTGTGTGCCAAGTTATATTGAAATCAGACCAAAACTGTAGGAGGAGTAGCATTTTGAAAGATTGTTTACAGACAGACAGACCGACGGACAGACAGACAGACGGACAGACAGACGGACGGACGACGGACGCATTACTATCGCATAAGCTCTTCTGGTCTCTGACCAGTAGAGCTAAAAAACGACATCACCAACACGCAGATCTTTGTTGTCTGTCTGCCATTTTCGCCGCTCCTGAAGTGTCTGGAGGTATTGTTTCTTCCACATGGACCAAAAGACATCTACCAGGTACTGCACTTTTTTCCACTGAACCTTATACGAGTCTTTTTCGTCAAACGAAAGCCCGGCTGGAACAAGGACGTCTGGCTTTTGTGTGAGAAGCAAAGATGGACTTAGATGATAAGGATCTTCTGGGTAAGATGACACACCAACAAGCGGGCGAGAGATAATAATGGCAGATACCTCAGCTAAGAAGGTAGAGAGGACTTCATGCGTCAATGCTTTTCCAGGCGTTCCAAGAAGCATGGCATCCAGAATTCTGCGCGTGACCCCTATCAGTCTCTCCCACACACCACCAATGTGGGAAGCGTGAGGAGGGTTGAATATCCAAACTACTCCACTGTAATACAGGAAGTCCTTGACAGGATGATCCTCTACCTTAGCTGTGTCTATGCAAAGATCGTCTGAAGCGCCAACGAAATTCGTACCACGGTCAGATCTAACAATCTTAACGGGTCCCCTGATAGCCAAAAAAACGTTTAATAGCATTTTATAAAGGATGATGAACTAAGCTCTTCGATGACTTCTATGTGTACCCCACGAGTAGAAAGGCATGTGAATAGAACCGCCCATCTCTTGCATGGAGTTAGCTGCTCCGCCTTTCGTGTAACAACGGATCATGGTCCGAACACATCCAAGCAAACATTCGTGAAAGGAGGTGCTGGCTCCAAACGGTCTGAGGGAAGGTCGGCCATCTTTTGGTGTTCTACTTGTCTTCGTAGTTTACGGCATGTCACACAGTGGTAGATGATGGTTGAAACCAATCTTTTCCCACCCAAGATCCAGAATCCTGCCATGCGGACTGCCCCTGCGGTGATATGCCTCCCTTGATGTTTGCACTTTTCATGATAGAATCTGACTAACAAAGTTGCAATGTAATTTCGACTTGGAATGATAACTGGATTTTTCTCACTTTACTGAATGTTGCTTAGTTTAAGACGACCCCCCAACTCTAAGGAGACCATCGGCACCAATGAAAGGATACAATTTTCGCAGCTGAGTATTCCTCGTAAGAGGTTCATGTCTTTCAAGACATTGAAGCTCTGTGGAAAAAGACTCCTGTAGTACACATCTGATTATCATGCTTTCAGCTTCTTTGTATGAATCGACAGTTTGAGTCTCAGCAAAAAGATGCCATCCTTTACCCTTCCTCGCAACAGTGAAACTTTGGGCGATGTGTTTCAGTTTACACATAATCTCGACAAGTCTTGTCCATTGAGAAAACTGTCTAAAACGGTGTGAACCCAAAAGCTTGGTTTGGGATTCTAGTATCTCTGTCTTTCTATATGGCACAGCTGCTAATTGTCTGATTTCTTTGTCTAAGTTTTGTAGGTCAAAGGGTTCAAATTGGTTTCTGATGTTCTCTCGAAGATGAGATGGTCAAAGTAGCCATGTGCTTGTTGAAAGTTCAGATGCTGCAATAGAACTTGTTGCCAGGTCAGCTGGGTTACTATCCGTAGGTACATAAGTCCATTGCTTTGGTGAGGTTACTTGGTGAATGTGGGCCACTCTATTGCTCACGTAGGTGTAACACCTCCTAATTTGGTTATGTATAGATCCCAGTGAGACCTAACTATCTGTATACATATGAAAACTATGCAGAGGAATGTCGAGATGATCCCTGATGCACTGAACAATCTCTGTTGCCAGAACTGCCGCACACAGCTCCAACCTCGGAATTGTGTGACCATGCGATGGGGCTAATTTGGCCTTCCTGAACACTCGTACTAATACAGTTTTCGCACATGACTTTCCTTGAAACGTATCCTTACAGATCTGGGTGCATGCAGAGTTAACACTCAGAGATGGAGCTTCAGTGTTTTTCTCCCCGCCATAATGTGTCAAGGAATATGGATTTCCACTAGAACTGCTAGCGTGCTTCTCGTCTGGATGAAGTGCCGTTGGGTGACTACCGCTGGAACACTCCTCACACGAAACTGTTTCCTTGCAGTTGCGCCTTAAGTGTGTTGTTGAAGAACAACATCGGAAGCATATCCCCTTCTCCTTTAAAAACTTTCTACGCTCTTCTAAACTTTTGTTCCTGAAGGCACGGCATTTGTTAAGAGGATGGTTGGCATTGTGAAGTTGACAATGACTACTTTCATCAGCCTTCTTCAATCTAGATTTTGTTTCCTTATCTAGCCCTTTCGATGCTTGACTCATCTCAGTTTTCAGTATGGTTACCCTTGGTACCCTGCCACTGTCTTTCGTGAATTTGTTCTCTTTCTGACACATTCCAGAAGTCACTGAGTCATATTTGAAACTTGGATTGTTCTTTGTGCTACTTAACTTTCGAACGAATTCTGCGAAAAGTGTAAAAGGTGTGTATAAAACACCATTCTTTTCAATGTATTTGATGGCAGTACTTGTCCATTTTTCTTAAAGATTGAGTGGAAGTTTGCCCACAATGGGTGAAACACCAGATGATGAATCAAAATAAGCTAAGACACTGCGATATTTCGGATCCTCCATAACAGATTCAATCTCGGTAGGTACATCTGCTAAGTCATATAACATTTTGTAGTTTTTTGTTATAATTGGGAAAGAGTTAAGTTTCTCTTTTAATGCTGACTTCACCATTTCCGCAGCACCAAAGCGTTCCTTCAAACGGTTCCAGATACGACGCAATCCTCTTTCTGGGTTGGAGATGTTTGCCATTTTGAGCGTCAAACAGAGAACAAAGTGACTTACAGATAAAAAAAAAACATACAATCCCAATTATGGCACAAACTGGTTTCCATACATAAAATTTTTATCAAGCCTAGTTTAGTAATTCCTGAATTTAAACACAATAATCTGACCCAAACATATATTCAAGTAATACTTATAATATAAACTTTACATGTACATTAAGAATGATACATAATAATACTGAACTATATCAATTTAAGAGACTAGATAGCACGAATGAATAAGTCACGTGATCAACAGTAGTAAACAATCTAAATCAATTCCTTTTGATATCAAATTGATACACAAAATAAGAAATGAAATGAGGCAAATCTCAACTGCTTCACAGTCACTAAATAAATGTCATTACTTACACTGTGGTCGGCTTCACGAAACAAAAACATGAACACATATTGCTTCGCCGGAAGAGCATGTACCCCGTTAGCACATGGGGAAAGTCAGGTATGGAAGCCGTGGCGGAACATTGACTGAGTTCGAGGGCAACATGCGTTTTGTTGGACCCAAGAACCAAACTGTCTGCTGGAGGCCGTTAGGCAATAAATGTTTTGTTATACCTTTTATTTATTTATTTTTTTGACATACATGTATTTAGTACTGTATTCCGTGATGTAACATAAGGCCTGTCACTGTTTAACACCACCAAATGAAAATGAGATTAAGCTCCGCCAATTATGTGACGTAAGCGGTCCAACATCTCTCCGAGCGGTCCAACATCGATTTTTTATGCCCACTCAGTAAAACATTAAAAATGTTAGATATTCTTTCGCATAGATTTGTATATGAACAAATTTTTAAAGGTATAACAATAAGTATTGACATAAAAGCAGACATACGGAGTAGAAAAAAAATCATCAAAAGGCAAAAGTCTCACAGCTTCAAAAACTGTAAGCATATCAACTTTAAATTCAAAAGTTCATGGTTAAATCTGTGGTTTAAGTAAAGTAAAGCGTTAAAAATATAATTTTACATTTATAAATAATTTGCTTTGACATTTGTACTCACTTGATTTTCTATAAGCCATGTTGTCTATAACGTAGATATCACTATGAGGATAAAGGCCTATACAGGATCTAACGATGTCAGGTCTAGCGTCCGATTGGTATCTCCACAGCCATTTCACTTGTTGATCTTTGAAATTCGTTTTTTCGTTATATATAATGTTTCCTGTCTGTTTTAAATTCTCCACGAATTCTCTCCTTTTATTTTCTGTTCCTCGTATGATATCCATAGGCACCATCACTAAAGTATGTAGATTATATAAATAAGTAATTGGTTAATCTCTAGAAAAATTTAAGTAAAAGAGATCAACATAGTTTCAAATGGAACACAATTTCGACGCACCCAGAACACGTCATCTATAAAAACACACATGTAAGAGTAAATTTAGTTTTCCTGATTGCAAAGATGATGCAGTACTTGTCAACGCAACCATTTTAATCAAGATATAAAATGAATTATTTCATCCTTTCGAGATAACTTTTACAACAAATTGCAATAAAATGTCATTGATGTAGCTAAAAGTTCGTGTATTTTGCAAAAACAAGCACGTCATCTTGACCTTAAGCGATATCTTCTATTGAGAAAAAATATCTGCACGGAATAAAAATGCAAACATACTTTTAAACTAGTGTGACTTTAAGGATTTTTTTTTAAACTTAATTCTTTTATTTTTTTTTTTTAAATTTAATCCACTTTTAGAATTATTTAAACCTGAGTTGGATCTTAATTTTCTTTTAAGTAGATCGACCGAGTTGCACAGTGCTAAGAGGCTCTGCCCTAGAGTCACGAAGAAAGGAATTTATCCTTACCTTGTGGGTACGAATCCCACTGTGGGACGTGGAAAACGGTTTTCGGATGTGATCGTGTAAACCGAGGTCCCGTGTGGCAGTAAGTACTGGCACGAAGAAGACCCCTCTCTGCTCAATGCATGATTATGAGTGCCGTATATAGAACAAAAGAACTTTATTTGATAGTAACCAATATTTGCCCCAAAAATTAAACTTTGACGAAGGAAAATTTAATCATATTCTAATACAGGGGGATAAATTCTGACTTCAAAGCATTGAATATTTTCGTTAGCAACGACGTCACATGTTTGAACTGACGTCAGGAAAATGACGTAAATTTAAAATTTCCATGATTTTTGCAGAAAAATGTAAAAATTGCGTCTATATCTTGAGTAAAAATCACCGAGTGCTGGTCTGCTCAGGCTCAATATTTTGATATAATGTGTAGAATTATAATTTCAATTAACTATGCAATTATTGTTCCTGAACAGACCTGCGCTCTATAAATTCTATCTAAAATTGTTAACATTGTCCATTTTGTCCTTTTTCTAAATAAATAATGCTAAAGTCGCCTAGTTTGTAACGCCATATAAACAAAAATTGTCAATAAGCAACTTTGAAACTGTAATATGTTTTGTTATTTTTATATTTTTCATACAATTTATACGATACAACACATTTCAATAATTTTTTTTTAATTTGATGTTTGAGAGGGCAAATATATGCAATATACCAAATACAGTTCTTTGCAGCTATTTACCAGCTAGTGTTGGCGTCTCTGTATGAGTGATAAATTCTCGAAAGGGACGTTGATCAATATAAAATTAATCAAAATCTTTTAAACAATGAATGAATTATACTATTCCACTTTTGAGTATGTAAAAAATAATAAAAGAAAAGTATTCATCATATACACTAACAGCTCTGGGATATTTCTTTAAAGATCTCTGTGTCCCCCATTGTATCATGATTCAGTATGTTCAACTGTAGACGCTGGATCAATAGGGAATCACAGTAAGACCTTTTACCAATGATACACGTTTCTCCGGGAGTTTTTTTGTATCTCAGTGATCTCAGGTATTTCTGTGATGTAATGAAACTAAATAAATAAAACATGGCATCAGGAGTATGGACATAATGCAATATTTGATACATGATATCATTCCTTGTCTCAATAGTTAGGCCTTTCCTTTCTTTCCACTCTAAAAGAAACGACATGCGATCCACATTCTGTTTTGCTTCTTCATATGTTAAAGGAAGACGTATTTTGAATACACTCTGTCTTATTTCATTAATTAAATCCAGCCACTCTGTGTCAAATAAGTCAGGAGGACCGGAGTCAGAACACAGAAAATAGAATAACACCAACACCTCGTCTTCAGTCAGTTCGGAGAATCGATCTGAAATACAAAAAAACAAATAACACAAAATAAAAATTTAAATCCATGTACAGCCGTTGTGTAGTTTTGGGCAAATTGCCCTTAGAAAAAAATGGTTTGCTATCTCCAGAGCGACTGACAAAAAGTGGTCCCTCTCAGAAAATTTTCTTTCCGTTCAAGGACACGATATTTTCTTTCTTTTTGTTTCTAATATCAAAGCAAAAATATGTTTAAATTAAAAAAAAGAAATATTTTCAACCTAATTACGGATCCAATAATTTTACATTAAGCGTGTGTCGGGAGAGGGCAAGCAAAAATTATTTCAAAGACTCCAATAAAACAAATAGGGATGAACAACATACCATGGCCAGTAATTTTCATTCATGTATGAACAAGTAGTTATATTTAAAGGTACTACCCACGTATGAGCATTAACCTTACCAAATGATGCCTCCCATCCCATATGAATATAATGATCATGTCCCTTTTTGTTCTCAGAGACCCGATATAAGTCTCATTAAATTCATTCAATTGTAAAAATAAAATAAAAATAAGGATTTGCGGATATTTAGAGATGCGTACCCCAAAGCGTAACGGACGGACGGACATTCCGATCACTATAAACCCTCCTATTTCTCATGCTGGGGGTATAATAAGTTCTCCAATATGTTACATGATTTATCATTTATTGCTTTGATGGGAATGTATCAAGTACCAAATATTTTACACCGGTCGTAACTGAGATACCTACATGGGATATCTCTTTATCCTCACTCCATTGTCTCCTTTACACTCAGGAAACATACCCTTTTATGTATAAATTTGCAAAGTCATGAAAACTTATAGAGAAACGAAAATGGTTTATCAAATTAAGCATTACGATTCACCCCTTTACAAAGAGTGGATGAGTTTTGTTAGATTGCAATTTTGCCCTCAAAGGTATACGTGGCGTTTGATAAAAATTATATGGGAGACGACCTTGAATGGGTTGACGTGGAGTGTAACCATAGAGATGAGAAGTATGTATATGTGAAAAACAGTAAGTCTTCAGATTAAGAGTCAATTCGTTTGCTTGTTTTTTAAAGAGAAAATATACCTATTTTTATACGATTATGTTATTTTTATAAACCTCATCTCTTACATCGATATGTTTTATTAAACAAAAATATGTCTAATACTACAAATATAACGAAATATTATATTATTGTATAATTTGATGAATTAAACCTCATCTAAAAATAAAACAAAGATTCAACGTATTTTTCTATATGAAATACTCGTTTAGCTTAAAGACCGACACATATACTCAAGGTAAAATATGACCTGTAACGCTCATATTTTCATTATAGGTCAGGTATAAATTGATAATAAAGCGCATCTTACTTGACTGAGGAGTCTTCCAATCACTATACAGATCAATGTCTGCAAGAAAGTATAACATCAATATTATTAACTGCAAAATACGCAATTTTAAAAATAATTTTGCTATCGTTTGTTTCAAATTACATAATAGTTTTGTTGCACGATTTTAATTGCATGATTTAATACCCATTTATTGAAGGATTACTTGAACACACAATGTAAACATCGATGTTCCTTTGTATTTGATTCAACGAGTTTCTCATTAATCATTTACAAGAGATATTCTACCCCTCTTTAAATAGTAAAATTAATAAGACTTACCAATGAGGAGATTTATTTCGACATTTCTTTTTAAACTTGCTCTTGGGAACCTTATCAAAACATTTAATGTGCTCTACATGCATTGTACCCAGGGATTTGTAGCACTAAGACTAATAATGAACTCTTTGTTCTTAAAAGATTTTTGAATATTTTCCCATTTAAAATAGCATTATTATCATGTAATGTCTTTTTCTCCAGTTGTGGTAAAACCTTTTGGAAAATAATTTGATCCAAGTTAAATGTACATAACCCGAGTATGCTTCTTTGAATATGGACAATCGTCATCTTGTTCTACATAGTTGTATTTTAAATTTTAAACCTTAGTCTCCTACTGTTACCACATAAGACCCCAGAGTTCAATTCTTATACAAAAAAGTAGATGGTTCTATTTAAATGCAACTAATCAAGGATCTGTTGTTCTACAGATAAAGATTAAAGATATTCATTTCGTGGTCCAGCTTTTTGCTTGGATCCTCACTGAAAGAAACTTGTATTTACAATATCTGCTTAGGATATTTCGATGTAAATAAAACTTATTATATCTCGATCAGCTATTTTCGTCATTTTCTTTGTATTTGTATGCAACATAGCAGAATTGTGTATATAATTAATATATATATATATATATATATATATATATATATATATATATATATATATATATATATATATATATATATATATATATATATATATATATATATATATGATATATAACTTTAAAATTATGTTTTTATTTTTATGCATTTATAATTATGAAATATAGGAAGGTTTGATAAAACAGTTTTACAAATATATGAGATATATATGAAGTTATTTTACAATTTTGTTGTATTAATTATTTTCCCGCCAAAACTCTGTTGGTGGATGGGTTTAGAAATGTCACATGACCATAGACAGGTTTTGAGTTTCTTTGGGGGTGTTGATCACTTTTGTCCCATGCTGTTTTGCCAGCAGGTTGTGTACATTGTAGTAGTCAGTCATAGTGTGACTTTTTGTTGGGTTTTTATATTTCAAGCTTGAGCATTGTTCCAGATAGCCAGTCTGTGCATCATTATAGAACAATCACTGGAGTGGAAGTCCCCCCTATATGTCAACTTCATCGACAATGAAAAAAAATAAACAGCGTGGACCGAGAGACATTGTGGAAGATACTGAGGCACTATAGAGTACGAGAGAAGCTAGTCTCCCTGATTCGAAACACCCACCAAGGCATGATATGCAGAGTTACCCATGCTGGCCAGATGTCTGAAAGTTTCGAGGTCAAGACAGGAGTTTGACAAGTTGCTTGCTGTAACCATTTCTTTTTCTCAAGGTCATTGATTGGATCATGAGGACTACAACAGCAGACAGGAACAATGGCATACAGTGGACACTCCTGATGCAACTCGACGATCTTGATTTTGCAGATGACCTGGCTCTTCTTTCACACAACCAAAGCCAGATGAAGGATAAAACAACCCATCTTGCAACAACATCGGCAGGAACAGGCCTCAAAATCAACTTGAAGAAAACAGAATTGATGAAGATAAACAACACTGTCCAAACACCAGTCACAGTTGCTGGCTAGGCCATCAAAGAAGTTGAGTCCTTCATCTACCTGGGGAGTGTGGTGGACAGACATGGTGGCACAGACTGCGACATCAAGGCAAGAATTGGCAAGGCTAGGACAACATTCACCATTTTAAAGAACATCTTGGCCTCAAAGAACCTACGTACTATCACCAAACTGCGGATATTCAACTCTAATGTATGTTTGTTGAAGAGACGTGGAGGATGACTAAAGCTACCCTGCAGAAGATCTAGACATTTTACAACACCTATCTCACGCCATCTTCAACATCCGATGGCCTGAAAGGATCTCAAACTAAGAACTATGGATGAGAGCAGGACAGGAAACAATGGAGGTACAAATAAGACAGAGGAAGAGGGGCTGGATTGGACACACACTAACTAAAGGAAGCCACCTTTCAGCATCACACGCCAGGCCCTGACTTGGAACCCACAGGGCAAAAGAAAAAGAGGACGACCTAGAAACACCTGGAGGCGTGACTCGGAGTCAGAGTTAAGAACACAGGATATGACCTGGCAGGATGCAGCTAAAGCAGCTCAGAATCGTGTTCGTTGGAGGATTGTCGTTGATGGCCTATGTTTCTCACGGAGCGACAGGCCTAAGTAAGTAAGTAAGTAAGTTGATCATTGTTTCATGATGAGATTTTTGCATTAATATTTTTACAGTGGTTAAAAACTTGAATGTTTAATTTCTTAGTAAATATGTGTTCATGACATTTAACACAGAGAAATTAAAAATAATAATTTTTATTAATGTTTTGCATGAATCCTTTGTATCCATTATATTTGTTAGAATTGTATAAAATAGGAAAATTTTTAATTTTTGGCATTTTGAGATGTCCCCTCTGGAAACAAGAGGGTAGAATTTTGTGTTTCTGGCATATGCTGTACAATTCAGTATTATGCAAATAAAAAAAATTGTCATCACTATGTTTCAAACATTTCTTTATCATTACTAACTAAAAAGAGGATTTTTTTTATTTGAATCATAATCAAAAATTGTTGCAAGGGTAGCTAAAATTAGCTCAATTGATTTCAAGAATCAGTCAAATGGTTTTTTTTTTTGCTTGCAAATGGACAGATAAGAAGGTCATTCAGCTGTATCAAAATCTTAGATTAGTCTTCTTTATGACATTTCTTCAATTTCCTAATTTTTGTTAGGCTTGAATTCAAAAGAACTAATTGTGATATTTACATAAAAACTGGCTCTTTTGAGATTATTATAACTTATTATGTTTTTATTAATATTATTTTCTTATCCTTACCTTCGTAACGGCTGACTAAAAATAAGAAGAAAGGCAAGGTAAACGTTTGATTTGTTGTATTGTTTTTTTTATGATTTTTACCAAAATTGTTAAATAAATAGTGCCTTTTTATCAGTAAATTACCAACATTTCAGCTATTTAAACAAGAGGCCCATGGGCCACATCGCTCACCTGAGTAACTTGAGTGATGCAGATCTTTTTAAAAGATTTGTTCTATATATATTTCTATATAAAACTTGGATTCCCCATTGTGGCCCCGCCCTCACCCGAGGGTCATGATTTTAACAATTTAATATCTACACTACTCAAGGATGCTTCCACATAAGTTTCAGCTTTCCTGGCCTAGTGGTTCTTGAAAGGAAGATTTTAAAAGATTTGTTCAATAAATCTCTATGTAAAACTTGGATTCCCTATTGTGGCCCCGCCCTTCCCCTGGGGGTCATCATTTTAACAATTTAATATTTACACTACCAAAGGATACTCCCACATAAGTTTCAGCTTTCCTGGCCCAAACGTTCTTGAGAAGATGATTTTCAAAGATTTATTCTATATATTTCTATGTAAAACTTGGATTCCCTATTGTGGCCCGCCCTAACCTCGGGGGTCATAATTTTAACAATTTAATATCTACACTACCCAAGGATGCTTCCACATAAGTTTCAGCTTTCCTGACCCAGTGGTTCTTGAGAAGAGGATTTGTAAAGATTTGTTCTATATATTTCTATGTAAAACTTGGTTTCCCTATTGTGGCCCCGCCCTACCCCCAGGGGTCATGATTTTTACGATTTAATATTTACACTACCCAAGGATGCTTCCACTTAAGTTTCAGCTTTCCTGGCCAAGTGGTTCTTGAGAAGTAGATTTTTAAAAGATTTGTTCTGTATATTTCTATGTAAAATTTGGATTCCCTATTGTGGCCCTGCCCTACCCCCGGGGGTCATGATTTTAACAATTTAATATCTACACTACCTAAGGATGCTTCCACATAAGTTTCAGCTTTCCTGGCCCAGAGGTTCTTGAGAAGAAGATTTTTAAAGATTTATTCTATATATTTCTAGGTTAAACTTGGATTCCCTATTGTGGCCCCGCCCTACCCCCGGGGATCATGATTTTAACAATTTAATATTTACACTACCCAAGGATACTTCCACATAAGTTTCAGCTTTCCTGGCCCATTGGTTCTTGAGAAGAAGATTTTTAAAGATTTGTTCTATATATATCTATGTAAAAATTGGATTCCCTATTGTGGCCACGCACTACCCCTGGGGGTCATGATTTTAAGAATTTAATATCTACACTACCCAAGGATGCTTCCACATAAGTTTCAGCTTTCCTGGCCAAGTGGTTCTTGAGAAGAAGATTTTCAAAGATTTGTTCTATATATTTCTATGTAAAACTTGGATTCCCTATTGTGACCCCGCCCTACCCCCGGGGGTCATGATTTTTACAATTTAATATCTACACTACCCAAGGATGCTTCCACATAAGTTTCAGCTTTCCTGGCCCAGTGGTTCTTGAGAAGAAGATTTTTAAAGATTTGTTCTATATATTTCTATGTAAAACTTGGATTCCCTATTGTGGCCCCGCCCTACACCTGGGGGTCATGATTTTTACAATTTAATATCTACACTACCCAAGGATGCTTCCACATAAGTTTCAGCTTTCCTGGCCCAGTGGTTCTTGAGAAGAAGATTTTTAAAGATTTGTTCTGTATATTTCTATGTAAAACTTGGATTCCCTATTGTGGCCCCGCCCTACCCCCGGGGGTCATGATTTTTACAATTTAATATTTACACTACCCAAGGATGCTTCCACATAAGTTTCAGCTTTCCTGGCCCAGTGGTTCTTGAGAAGAAGATTTTTAAAGATTTGTTCTATATATTTCTATGTAAAACTTGGATTCCCTATTGTGGCCCCGCCCTACCCCCGGTGGTCATGATTTTAACAATTTATTATCTACACTACCCCAGGATGCTCCCACATAAGTTTCAGCTTTTCTGGCCCAGTGGTTCTTGAGAAGAAGATTTTTTAATGACCCCACCCTAATTTCGTATTTTCTTGATTATCTCCCCTTGGAAGGGGTCTTGGCCCTTGATTTTAACAATTTAAATTCCCCTTCACCTAGGGATGCTTTGTACCAAGTTAGATTAAAATTGGCCCAGTGGTTCTTGAGAAGAAGTTGAAAATGTGAAAAGTTTACAGACGGACGGACGGACGGACGGACAGACGGACGGACGGACGGACGGACGGACGACGGACGCCGGGTGATCAGAAAAGCTCACTTGAGCTTTCAGCTCAGGTGAGCTAAAAAAGGCCCTGCAACATATTTCTTGTTTTTTTTTTATTTTATTTTTTGTTACTTTTTTATTTTTTTATGTAAATTTAATCTAAAGAAAATTGAGACTTAAAACGTTATCATAATTTCGATAAGAAAGCCCTTATTTGTTTAGTAAAAGTAATTGTAAAGAAAGAATCATAAAAACAAAGAACAATTACACAGTTCTTTAGTTTAATTCTTTTGTAAATACATGTATGTATTAGCCACATACCCATTTCCAGTGGAGTTTCTTTGTATTTTCTCTTTTTTGACATCCTCCTTTTCCAGAAAATTATGGCAAGGACTAAGAACAGTATCAATACTAGAAAAATGGTACTCCCTTTGATCACTCCTGCATCGCTTGATTCTTCAACTACATTACCGGTCTCTGTGGTCAATATGCTCATTGTGGAATTTATTATGCCACCAACCGGTGTACTTTGGTTGTTAGGATTAATTTCTGTTCTGCAAATTGGAAATAAATATGGATGATTTTCATATTTTATAATTTGGTAAAGACAGTTCTGTTCTATTATTTTATTTACATTTGAAGTGGTTTTATTGTTACGAAAATTAGTCTGTAAATACATAATTATATGTTAATATATATAGTTCATATCTTGTAAATTTGTTTGGCTGTTAATTATATTATTAATTTTGATCAGATCCTCATATACAAGATGATACATGACTGTATTTTCATTGTTGGAGCCCATAAGAAATATACATTGAATAAAACGAAAAACCTAAACCTATACATTATAATATTTATCTTCTCCAGAATATATAAAGAATTGAAAGGTTACCTGTTCGAACAAGATGGATCTGCATAAAAACATCGATTTTCAGTGTTGATTTTGCTGCAGGCTGGAACTAGACGAAGAAAATTAATATTTTTTTGTTAATAGTATATCTGATCACTGATTTATAGAATACATACATTTGTGTAAGTCTGTTCCTCTGAAGTTTTCATCTGGACAACCGGCTTGAAAATGATTACAACTGATCTGATCCAAGAATCCATCTCCAAAAGACTCCAGGCAATGTCCTTAATAGAACAAAAGTTATCCATTTCGATAACTTACAAAAAGTAAAGATTTTTAGACCAATCTTCATTTAAGATACAGTTTTGTTGAAATATGAAGCTCCAAAAATCTTGAATATGTTTTAAATGATTTTAAGGATGAATTATTAACTGGCTGATGTTTCAAATATATATAACGCCTTTGTTACATAATACCATAAATGCAAAACCGCTTAACTTTAATTTAATCGATTTAAAAATTTAAAAAATTTCAAAGAAACATTTTCATGGTTTCTAAATTTTTACGGGGGTTGTCCATAAAGTTCGTAGACAAAGAGGTTTTTTTTTTTGTAAAAATAAATGGTTCTTTATATATATCTAATGTATATAATATCAGAATATTTCTTTTGAAAAACAAAGTCAGAAGGATTAAAATTTTATTGATGAAACTTTATATTTTTCTAAAATCAGGGGTCTTTAAATGTAGCAGATTGTGTTCAGGGACCAGTTTGACGTTAGACTAATTTCATTATTACGTCAAACATTTGGATTTTGATTTTTTTTAAATATATGTTCATGGACACACACTGCATTTTCTTTATTATGTCATACTGCAAAGTGCTAGAATGAAGTATAGATAATAATTAATTTAATTTTTAAAATGCAAAGCAGTACACAGTAATTTACGAGTGTCAATATAAACAACTCGTATGCACATGTTGCACATTCAAGTCCGATTTTGCGCAAGATTTATAACAACGCCATGAATAGAAATATCCGTTTTCATCACATGTGTTTTCAAATCCTTGTAGTGTCTTCGAATTTACACGCACAATTGAAAAAACTATATACCTATCTCAAATTGATAAACTCCCACTGTAGGACGTGGGGACCGGTTCTTCGGATGAGACTGTATAATCTGAGGTCCTGTGTCGCAGTAGGTGCTGGCACGAAAAAGATCCCTCCCTGCTCAAGGGCCCTATAGGACAAATTTTAGAATTTCAAAATATTTTTTTTCGTTTACCCTTCTGATATAACCCGACGATTTTGCTGTAGCAGAATTCTACGAGAGCTGATCTGTCTTTGTTAGGGACACAGGTATACTGATTACGTCCATACTGGTCCTCACTACAGTTCAGTCTGGTAGCAGCTGAGATAAACTCTGTCTCACTAGTAGGACAGGAATCCACCACGTAACCAAACCCTCGGTAAGTCATTTCTGGAATAATAAGAGAACATGAATTCCATCTTTGCGTTGCGTTCATGTATATTAAAGCCGCATAGTCCAATTCTTATCGCAATATATATATATATATATATATATATATATATATATATATATATATATATATATATATATATATATATATATATATATATATATATATATATATATATTCATTTTTCTTTTTGAAAAAATAATTGTCCATAAATTGGTTTCAACTTTTGTCAATATTTCTCCAAAGTCTAATTTTTTTCTTTTAAAAGATATCAAAATCAAAAAGTTAAAAAAATAATTTTTGTTAGGTCACACAAAAAATAATCCTATATAAATATCGAGTGAAATCACCTATATACTGTATTGTAAAGCACTTTGAGTAGCATTTATGCTATAAAAGCGATGTATATAAACAATCATAATTATTTATCGCTTATATCTCATGAAGAACAAACCCGAGCTCTTTTTTCAAAACAAAGTACTTGTACCTGTACACAAATACTATTTTAGCCTTTTTTATAAACGTCCTTAAAAAGATCTTTAAAATATCTGATTTTCCTTTTTCTTTCAATATACATATCAATAAAAGAATTGCTACGAAATATATTCAATTAATTTCTTAATTTTTATAAGATATGTTATGACTTAGGCTTCTACTAATCGAGACCAGTCACGGTAGCCTAGTGGTAGAGCGTTCGCTTCGTGATCGGGTTCGATTCTCGTTCGCGGCGCCGCGTCATACATAAGATGTAAACAAAGGTAGTGACTGTTCCTTCGCCAAGCGCTCGGCACTAGAAGTGAAAGTCACGGGTCTTTCGGATATGACCTTAAAAACGTAGATCCCGTGTCACAGTAGGCGCTGGCACGATAAAGAACCCTCACTGCTCAATGGCCCGGAGTGCCGAGTATAGGTCTAAATTTGAAGCCCTTCATCGGCATACGGTGACGTCTCCATATGAGTGAAAAATTCTCAAGAGGGACGTTAAACAATATACATTCAATCAATCAATCTACTAATGGAAAAAAAAAATTCGGGTTTGAATTATCTTCAAATTAGATATAATCGATAAAATCATTTTTTCAAAGGTGAATTCCCAACAGATCTTAATTTCCCGTCAGGAACTTCTGTTTGTCAGCAAGGTTTTTGATCTATGTTTCCTTGTTAGGATTGTTGTAATAAAGAATTAAATCAATCTTATGATTTATTTTTATATCTTGTCTATGTAATGACGAACTTTTATTGTGTAAGATTATATGTGCCTGTTTCGGACTAATTTTTTTAAGCGGCCTTAATACGAGGAAATAAACATGAAGAGAAAAGATCGCGTGTTATTAAGATATCATAGTAGAAAGCAAAATTTTAAATCGTAAAAAGATGAGGGGAAGCAACAAATTCAATTATTAAGTAATGAGTATTTTTTGTTTGTTCTGACGTTTGATAAACTTGACTTATAAAGATGTAAATAGACGAAGGACAAATAACTATGTAGTTAAATATAGTAAATTAAAGGTGGATATATCTCTTTTTAGCTTACTTGAGCCAAAGGCTTAAGTGAGCTTTTCTGATCACAATTTGTCCGTTGTCTGTCGTTGTCGTCGTGATATATATATATATATATATATATATATATATATATATATATATATATATATATATATATATATATATATATATATATATATATATATATTTAATTTTGCTTGTATTCTCGCAATCTCATTGGTTGATTTCCAAAAAGGAACGCAAATTATTTTGTATAATCTGGTTTGGTATGGGGACACACCCCCTTGACAACCAGCTTAATCATCATATACATGCAATCCCCTCATTTCCAGTCCTCGGAATCCATGGAAAATTCCAGATTTTAATAAATGTACCTTCAACTATAAACAATTACTCGATCTAACCTCATGTAAACAAGCATCATGGCTGCTAGATCTTTGTATCAGTTATTACCTCCCCTCGCTTCAAATCACTTCCGTTACTACGGTTGTATTATTGCGCAGTAAATTTGAACTTATAAAAAGCAACACAATTTTACATCAAAAGTTGTTCAATTATTTTAAAATTAAATTATAAGTAATGACTCTAATTCTTGGCCATATTATCGAGTATAATCTGGTTTGGGTCAGTGTACGCTTTTTTATAATCCGATAATATATATATATATATATATATATATATATATATATATATATATACATATATAATACTCTTATATCAAACACAGGGTCGTTTTATTCGCTCTGTTTTACATTTCACACAAAGGAATTTATTTTATCGGTTAGTCTTGAGCGGAAAAAATGTTCCTCGATTGCAATAAAATTCAAAATATTCAAGTTTAGTTATAATTCATATAGCAATAAAAGGAAGGTAGTTTAACATGCAACGTCGTTGATATTTGGTATTGATATATAAAATGACTGAAGCTTCATTATTTTAAATCAAAAGTTAATTTATTTAGTAATATCTTTACTTACTGCTAATATTCATTGATCATGTATGTATCCTTTTCTTTTTCTTCTTTTTTTTTTAAAGTGCCGTCATTTTCTAAACGAATGTACCAATAGGTAAGAGAAGGAAGTATAAGAACAAACTTACCTTTACTCAATACCACGTTACCTGACCTTCACATTTACACATATATTTAGATTATGCGGCCCGGATAAGAGGAAAACCCATTAATATTGATTTTTAACAGGAACTATTAAACACCAATCCTATACAAAAGGATGATAATTTTAGTATGTAAAGTTGATATTTAATGTGTAACATTATTTTCTTATCTCGCAATCTAGAGCGTACAATGATACATTTCTTATTCAAACTGGTAGATATACTTCCGAAAAGTAATTATCTGGGGTTTTTTTCATATTACTTAGGGAACACATTGATAGCATGTTGATGTGTGGTATAATTATTCGTATAATAGTATATAATAAGTGTAATCGGCATAGATTTATTGGAGTTCATATCTTGAATTGGATGCAAAATCAACAGCATTCTTTTTACATGTATTCATATTATGCTTTTTAGTGAAATATTGAAATAAAAAAAATAAAACCCATATTTGATTTATCATTTTTTAATTTGTTTATCTGATTGTTTGTTATATTTCCTTAATTCCCCAGCGCATCTGTATTGTGAATCATTTTTCTTCTGTATAGGTAACTATGCATTTCTTTTCATATCATATTCTAGATATATATTAATTCTATGGATAAGGAAATTAAAAAAAAGAAACAAGGTTAAATACTATTCAACAATATTTACAGGGGTTAACATACTGTACAGAAAATGTAACGCAGCATTGTTAATGCTTGAAAAAGGAGACGTGGACTAATTTTTACGGGAAATATTACTGTAACATCACACAAAATAGTTTTACATCATAATATAGGACCATAAAAAAATCTTTAATTTTAAACTGTATTAGGATTACAAACAACATAATATTTTCAATGCATTAAGAATAGTTACTAGTTAAATCCCAGACAACAGTTTAGAAACAAATCACCTATTGCAGCAAACCTGTCGGATGACATCATTTTGATTAACATGAGCTGTGAATTCTTAAAAACGCAACATTTTCATCTATGTACGACTTGTTTCATACCAACTATAGCCGTGTTCCGCCATATTTCTTTGAGATACCTTGTCTCATTGTTACGATATATACCCCAATGCGGTCGTTACGCTTGAATGATTTTTTGGTTTTTGTATCGACTTGTGCACATCTCCGATGGTAAAGCATATGAGAACATATGAGGTGATCAAAAAAATTTCAAAACCACTATATACAACATAATAATCATATTTCTGAATAATTATTGATTTGAATCAACAGAAACAAAATGCAAGTTTGGAAGAGAAATTTAGATGCATGAATACATATTTTTACAGTGCGCCAATTTATGTAGAATAAACTTGAAATAAAAAGCAGTAAAATCTGCAAACACATTTTTAAATTATATCATTTTATCAAATTATATCATTTGAACGAACAAAACAACCGACGTCTTTGATTTGCAGGTCCTAAAGATGCAATTGATGCATATCGAGAAAACGCCTCGAAAGCTGTAAACGTACCCATACCTGGAAAAGGTTACTGCATCGGTTCGAAGATGTGCACCAGTCAAGTGATATACACCCTGAATCCCATTTATTGAAATATGCATCACAAAAAAGAAATAAACTCCATAAAAGCTCAATAGTAAACACACTGTCATTACTCCTTACAGACTAGCACGCCGATAGTCCGTGCTGATCACACTTTGGTCAGGGAAAATATCACAAGTGGAAAGAGAGTTATTTGGTATTTGCGCAGCTGAAAGGGGGGGAGGGGGGTAAAGTATTATAACTGCTGTTCATAAGCTATAATTGTGAATTGTCTATCTACATGTAGTTCTAATA